ATATATATATACACACATTTTTGGATATAAAACATGTCAAAATAGCTCACAATTGCAGTCATGTTTTGATGCATATCAACGCATCTCATCAGGTGATTGCAAATTAAAATTGAATATTGCTCTACTTTATAGTCAGTTCTTTCGAATTAAATATTACGAATGTTGGAATTGTACTCTATTTGTTCTCATCTTACCTGGAGATTATATATATATATATATATATATATATATATATATATATATAAAATGTCCTTTATTATAACTTGACTGTTAACTGCCCTACAAATACATTTCCTGATATTCCATAATCTCAAAAAGACTTCTCAAGTTTAGAGTGAAACGTTATCTATTCTACATATACTCATCATCTGCATTTCTTACCTTCTCCTATGTCCAACCTTATTCAGTAACTTTCTAGCTTGAGTGGCTCTTAGGCCTTGTATTGAATGAACATTTAGTAAAAAGAAATTATTTCTTTTTCTTTACCATTCCTCTCTCACATTTTTTTTTTTTTTTTTTTTTTAAATTAAAAAAAAAAAAATATCAAAGGTGAAAGGTTAACCCTTTGAGCCCTGCGTTCCTGAACAATTTTAACTCTTCTACCTGAGCTCCTGGGTCAAAATTTGCAAAGAATTGGTATGTAATGTTTCACGGTAGATATAAAAATAGTGTTTACCTACCGATCAACCGGTAACTGTGCATTACGTCATTTTTCTCTACCACCGGTAAAGCGGTGGTCAAGGCTCAAAGGGTTAATATGCAGTAATCCTGGGGTGGGGGATCAGTTTAGTACTTAATGACAATAGAAAAACGATCCTCCACTTTATGTCCAGTAGAATCTTATATGAATGTCAATCATGATTCGGAAAAAAGACATGGTCACCAAAGCATGCAACACAGATGACACCAAAGGAAGGATATTAATCCTTTGAGCCCTGTGTTCCTGAACAATTTTAACCCTTCTACCTGAGCTCCTGGGTCAAAATTTGCAAGTAATCAGTATGTACTGTTTCACGATAGATATAAAAAATAGTTACATGTGTTTACCTACCGTTCAACCAGTGGCTGGGAATTAAGTCATTTTCCTCTACCACTGTTGAATCAGTGACTGGGCATTACGTCATTTTTCTCTACCAGCGGTAAGGTGGTGATCAGGGCTCAAAGTGTTAATATGCAGTAATCCTAGAGGGATCAGTTTAGTACTTACTTACAATAAGAAACCAATCCCCCACTTTATGTCCAGTAGAATCTTATATGTTAATTAAGATTCGAAAAGACACATGGTTGTCCAAGCATGCGACACACGACACCAAAGGAATGATATTAACCCTTTGAGTCCTGCATTCCTGAACATTTTTTTTAACTCTTCTGCTTGATCTCCTGAGTCAAAATTTACGTCATTTTTCTCTACCACTGTTCAACTGGTGGTCAGGGCTCAAAGGATTAAGAGTATTTTAATTTTTTGAGAATGTAAAAGGAGAAATTCACAAAACTACAGAGCAGGTCGTAGGGAAAATAAATAAAATAAAATAGACAAAAAGTTCAATGTATACAGGAAAAAAAGTATATACGTAGCTTGTTTTACATTGTTTAGAGTCTTCTATTATTTTTATTGACATCATCTTCATCAATACCAATTTTAAATAATTTTTTTTTTTTTTCTTAAACATTTGTTTTTTTTAGTCTTTGGTGAAGGATATATTTTGATCATTCAAAAAGTTTATAGATTTTTTTTAACTAACCTCATATTTCAAATAGGCATTTAAAAAAAAAAAAAGAAGTCCATTACAGGCTGTTTAAAAAAAAAAAAAAAAAAAGAAAGAAAGAAAGAAAGAAACACCCACGAGAATGAAATTTCATATTGACAGAAGAAAATATAGAAAAAATTTTTTTTACGGCAATCACAAATCAACTTATCTTTACTCGTTCACACCGAGGACGAGATGTGACACAAGGTCTTTTTAAAGTGGGGACCTGAGTGAGGGACAAAAATTGCCCACAGCCCACGCAACCGTCGGTTGTGCTGGCCTCGGTATGAGCACCGATCCCGCCCTCTTGTGCAATGGGAGGGCGTGGCCTCGGGCAGCTGTTCCCCAGGGCTGGGCACCTCTCAGTATTATTTTCTTAGTTGCATCTCTGTCCTTTGACAGAGAAGCCCCTGAGCACACTCTGCCCACAGACAGAGATGCAACTGAGAGATGATAAGCCATGTGTTACAAATCCCTCTATTACACTATTGAGTAGAGATGCCCTCCTTACTTATGGGGTAGGATAGTGTGATCAATCATGTGACCACGTTTGAAGTGATTTGCTGTTTTAAATATATATTTCTTTTTTTTTTTTTTCTTTTCATGTTTGTTTTCTATGTCATTTCATTTTTTTTTTTTTTTTATAGGCGTATTTAAAATATGAGATTAGATAATAAAAAAAAAAAAAAGAAAAAAAAGCAAGCCAATTCTGTTTTTAATGTTGGAACCAGATGCATTACAGGGTCGGGTCGGGTCGGGTCAGGAAGGAAATTGGGCAGGACAAGGGAAAGCATAAATAGAATCACATCATTTTTATTGTTTATAGAAATTTAATTGTTGGGTAATCCCCAATGAGGCTGGGTGAAAGGATTTTTCTTCTTTTTTTTTTTTTTTTTTTTTTTTTAAAATTTAATTTTTTTGAAAGTCAAGAGGGGGTTGGGACAATAATGGTCCAGATTGAGACAAGGGTGAAGGTAGTCATAGCTGTAAAATAAAAATTAGGCTGTAGTTGTTGGGCAGCACTTGTCAGCCTGCTTCAAGCTGTACCTGTTATTGGGGGTTGGGGGTCTGCGTCCTCTCCTGGGAAGTCAAAGCTTAAGTCCTTGTAGATATGGTCCACATTAGTTAAAATAACAAGAAATTAATGTCAAAATAGTCAAAGTTTTCTTTTTCCTTTTCATCTATAAAAATTTATTTTTAATTTGTTGAGTTGACTTTGATCTTGTCAAGGTCAGAGAATTGGTTTATAGGTGAGAGAAAAACTTTCAAATAAAATCACATTGTTATTCTTTGGGAGTTATAAATCCAGAAACTGGGTCCTGGCAGAAGTGGTGGAGGGTGATGTCCAAGTGAAGGTGTAATAGTCAGATTGTCCCAGTCTCCTTCTAGGTTGTTAGTGGCGGAGGTGGTGATAGAGGCTTTCTAAAAGAAAGCAAACAGTATGCCAAGGATAAGGAAAAAATGGGAACGTATTTTACAAAGATAGAAGAATAAAAAAAAAAAAGAAAAGAAAAAAGTTTGTCTTTTTTTTTAAAAAGTTTTTAGATGAAGCATTATCATTGCTTTGAGCTAACTATTAGTTTAACTCCATCTTGTTATTGTTGCTTTTTATCCCAGTCCTCTGGCGCTATACAATCTTTTATTATTTTATTACTAGTTTGGTTTCATCTTATTGATGCTTTTCATTCCAACCCTCTGGCCAGATCCACTCTTCATTATTCCTATTATTTTATTACTAGTTTGATTCCATCTTATTATTGATGCTTTTTTCAATCCTCTGGCCAGCTTCATTACAATTACTAGTTTATTATTTTATTGACTTTTTTATCCCAACCATCTGGCCAGTTTCATTATTCTATTATTGATGTTTCATTCCATCTTATTATTGATCCAACCCTCTGGCCAGATCCATTCTTCATTATTCCTATTATTTTATTACTAGTTTGATTCCATCTTATTATTGATGCTTTTTATCCCAACCCTCTGGCCAGATCCACTCTTCATTATTCCTATTATTTTATTACTAGTTTCATTCCATCTTATTATTGATGCTTTTCATCCCAACCCTCTGGCCAGATCCACTCTTCATTATTACTATTATTTTATTACTAATTTCATTCCATCTTATTATTGATGCTTTTTATCCCAACCCTCAGGCCAGATCCATTCTTTATTATTCCTATTATTTATTACTAGTTTGATTCCATCTTGATGCTTCATCAGTGCAAATGTTTTTGAAAAAAAGCAACAATAATACGATGGAGTAAAACTAGGAATTAAATCAATACAATGAAGAAAAAAAAAAAAACAGAAATTAAAATCAGAAACAAACAAAAGTTATAACAAATAAAAATTGGACATCCTTCTTTTTTTTTTCGTTTTTTCTTTTTTAAATTTTTTTTTTCCTTCTTTGAGGAAGGGGTAATTTTTTTTTTTTTTGCCTTGGAGATAGGGTAAATTTTTTTTTTTCCTTGCTTTCTGTCATAAATTGTTTCTTTTGGAGAATCAAACATTTTTTTTTGTTTTTATTATAGTTATTTTATTTATTTATATTGAATATTTCCATGTCCGAATTAAAATCATTTTGTTTTCTTCTCTCTTCTAGTGTGTTTCAATAAAGGGGAAAAAGTAAAAGAAAACCCCTCCCCGCTTCCACCCAGTAGATACAAGCAAAAAAAAAAAAAAAATTTTCTTTCTTTAAATGCTTACTTATTTTTTTTATTTTCAATAACTGAATTTTTTTTTTTTTTTTTTTTTTGCTTTAATGAGGAAGAGGGCAGGATTGGGGGGTCTGGGGGGAGGGTATGTTTTGTTGTCGTGTGTTGCTGAATTTTTCTGTTGTTTTTAATTTAATTTTTTTAATTTTTTTTTTTTTTTTTTTTCATCAAGTCAAAATAAAAATCTGAGAAAATAAAACATCCGTGAAATCAAGCAATTTTATGTGTAAGTATTTATGTAAGTATTTAACTTCGCCATGTTTATTTTATTTTTTTTAAATTTAAAATCCAAGATTTCCATTAAAATTCATTCTGTTCTTCCTGTTGATTTTTCCGCAAGCACCTGTTGTTGGGGGCCTGGGAAGGGGGAGAAAAAAAAAAAGAAATGAGGAGGGGGTGCAGAAAGAAACTGGTGTCATTTTGTTTTTTTTTTTGTTATAGATCTGTCTCTTATATCTTGTCTTTAAACTAAAATACAGATTTTCTTTTCTCTCGTTCCATTAATCTTGATGCCAATAAATTGTCTGTCTGTGAGTTAATGGGGGGTGGCAGCTGCTGCACCTGCAACAGCACCCGTGGCTCCACCCGTGGCAGCGGCAGAGGCAGTGGCCCCACCACCAGCACCAAGTCTGCCATAGTCTGGATTGACAAAGGAGAAGCCCCGGAATTCATCTTGATTGATGACAGATACAACATGGTAGTCGACCGGGGTCAAAGTTGGCTCCTCTGATGTAAAATCTTTGTCAAAATTGTTGGCATCTGTCCGGCTTTTCTGAAAAACAAAAAAAAAAGATAAGGTGTTGTAACTATTTACAACATTTGGACTCTTTATTGCTATATTCTTGACATTTTGGCCATTGTATGCTCCAGTCTTCTTCAAGATCTGTCTATATTTCTAAGATGAGGTGTTGTAACTATTTACAATATTTACACCGTCTGGACTGTTGTCCTCATCTTAATTACCATATTCACATTTCGGCTGTTGTACATTCTGGCCTTCTTCAGGTGATATATCTTGGAATTTCTAAACAGAACCCTTTATTTAGTACACGGATGTAGATGCTTCTAGTTCCATGTCTTTTTTTTTTTTTTTTTTTTTTTTTTTTTTGGACATTTCAGTTATCTCCCTTAGTAATTTTACTCTCCAAGTTTTTTTTTTCTTCTCTCTGAACACACAATTCTTTAGGTTAAGTCATTTTTTTGGATTATTAAACCAACACTTTTATCAGTGAGTGAATTTTTAAGACTTATAAACCTAATGTTTCAGCAAACATTTTTTTTTTTTTTTACCAGAGCTCATATTACAATTTTTGTTATTGCTGTTTTTCTCTAGTCTCTATATTACAGGTTCCCATATTGTATTCATTTCTATGCTTGGTCAGCTTAGGAGATTTTTGTGGCTCAGCATATGCGTTGACTCCTTAAGTTTTTGTATTTTTCATTGATGTGTGTCTGTTATTTCAACCTCATCCCACCGAGGGGGCAGTGATCTCCCCTTTTCTCTCCATGATGGGGACAATAGCCCAGAGGATTAAAGCATTGGTTCATGAATTTGGTGATATTGTAATTGTGAATTCAATCCCTCAGCCAGGCAGTGTGTACTTGTACTCTGTAGAAACAGAGTGAACAATACCCGAGAAGTACTAAAAATAAGAACTAGACGACATACCCCTAGACATGGGCAGTGGAATGAGAACAGTCTACCCCTGTAGATTAAATAAGTTCTGAACTTCTTGTAGTTTACTCGAATTGACATACAGCTATTGAAGACTGGAGAACAGAACAGACAAAATGTTGTGAAAACAATATCAAAGTTGAGGGCAATTGTCTGCATATAGTTTAAATTACAACTCCTCATTCCAGAAATTCGGACAGAAATTTAAAAAGATAATAAAAAAAAAAAAAATTAAAAACTTAAAACTTACTATTTTTGGTTTGAAAGGTGGTTTGACCTTTCTCTGTTCAAGAGCATCCCAGTCGATTTTCTCATGGAAGAACGGATGTACAAGAATAGCTCTTTCTTCCCCGTGACTCTTAACACAGCCTAAACGGCGAGCAGGATTCTTTGACATGAACTGGAAAAAAAAAAAAGGGGGGAGATAAATCAAACCATTTTATTATTTACTAGCTGAATTACCCGCACATTGCATGCATGTCACACTTTTTTCTTTTTTTTTTTTTTGTAAGAAAATGATGATTGATTTTAAATCATTGTTACAATTTGCGGGGAAAAATGATGCATTTTAATATTACTCAAAGTGAAGGTAGTTAAAAAAAGTGTTGTCATGGGGAAAACTGTCCTTTTTACACTACGCATTATTGCAAGAACGAAGGTCAAGGTTTGCATAAAAAAAAAAAAAAAAAAATCAGTGCAGAGTTATAATTGCCTACATCTAAAAGTCAAGAATAAAATAAATAGGGTAGACTGTGATCGGCAGATTTGAATGGCAACCAATCTAGGAGAAAGCAAACTTCGAATTCCAGACTGTGGAGGAGGCAAACAGAAACCACTTGGTTATCTTTCCAAAGACAGCATGGCAATTCACAGATAATAAGCAAAATGAAAGTGTGGAGAGCCGTGATCACCTACATCCTGAAGGAACAATACTTACCCCTTTAAGTATAGACACAGCCTCCTTGGTAAGCCAGACTGGATAAAGAACATCATCATGAAGAATTGACTCAAATAAATCGTCTTCATTGTCTGCTTCAAATGGCGGCTGACCAGCCATCATTTCATACATTAAAACGCCAAGGGCCCACCAGTCTACTGAAGCATCATATTCTAATTCTTGGAGAATCTACAAAAATAAAGAAATCATCAGTAATAATGGCGCAATATTATCTGTAGATATTACACTTTTCAGAAATTGATTAAGTATTTCCCAGTTATGAATTGAGACAACTAAGCAAGGTAGAACCATGGTTGAATGATAGGAACCTTTGTCTACAATTAGTTTGTCATCTCTTTTATCACTTTATATTTGAACTCAAATTTTTCACATATATATATATATATATATATATATATAAATTATTTAAAAATATGATTCCATCGCGACATAAGAGTTCTCAGGTTTCAAAACAAGAGCCGAAAACTTCAATATAATTATTTGAATTTTTTGCTTGAAGATGGAATAGAGCTTGGTACTTTAATTCACATAATTATATTGAAGTTTTCAGCTCTTGTTTTGAAACATGAGAACTCTTATGTAGCGATGCAATCATATTTTTAAATAAATAATTATATTTATGCTATCGAGCACCATGTTTTGGATTATTTACCTAACGAGTTCTTTCCTATTTTCTATATATTTTTACACCCACACACATATATATATATATATAAACAAATGAAAACTATATACAAAAGTTCATTTTCTCCAACAAGACATTCATTCCTGTAGTTCACTGCTACCAGCAAGCAAGCAGAAAATTACTTTTCTCCTGATGATGGCCATGTTGGCCGAAACTAGTCAAGGAATCTAAATGGAATAATAATAAAAACGCAGGAATATTAATATACAACCGAGTGTGTCTGAAGATTTTTATTTTTTAATATTTTTTATTGTTCAATATATGTATATATATATATATATATATGTGTGTGTGTGTGTGTGTGTGTGAACATAAAAGTCAACACTTAGAGGCGACAGTCTATGTTCACTTTTATATTTACACTCACTCTATCACTGATACTGAGCACTTTATCCCATAAATATAGCACATCTTAAGACTATATTTCTTATATATATATATATATATCTCCAGGTAAGATGAGAATGAATAGAGTACAATTCCAACGTTTGTAACATTTTTATTTTAGTAAAAAGAGGTTGTATTTTGCTTTTAAGTCTAAATAAATCATTCACTCACCAGTAATTTACAATTGCCTGATGAGATGCATTTGATATGCATCGAAACACGACTGCAATTGTGTAGTGATTTTGACATGATTTTGGTGTAATATCTTAAAATATACATGTATATTCAACTCAAATGGTGGACTGATTCTGTGTTAGAAACTTAAATATTTAAAAATATTTAAAAAAAAACAGAAGTTGAGAAATTGATACTGAGCTAACCAAACAAAATGCACGAGGGGTGGAAGGTGGATGTTGTCTGGCTTAAATGGAAAAAGCCTACACAAATTCTACCCCGATATTAATCTTAACATTCCAAGTTGAGGTTATGAAAAAAAAAAACTGAAGGAAAATTTTAAAGGATGGCTAGAAAAAAGAAGTTAAAAAAAACAAAAAAAAAAAAAAAAATAAACGAAATTATTAATTATATAACAAAAAACAATAAAATTTCTTATCAAAAGTTACCAAAATATGCTTTCAAATAAAATCTAATAAGATTAAAAATAAATCTTTTTAGATAGTCTATATTAAGAAAAAATTGAAAATATTTTATATTTTATTAAATTGAAAAAAATTTTTTCACTTTTTATATATATATATATATATATATATATATATATATACATAATACCCAATGTTGATTGCACAACTCAGAGCTTCATGCTATCTGCAATCCTCAGGTGTGAACTTTTGGGTTTACACCATTTGTTTAATAATTATTGTGAGATATTTTATTGTTAGGATGGATTATTAATGTAGGTAAGTATTTAAATGAATTTTATTTTAATTTTGGATTTGAATTTAGGCCCAGATTAACATTTAAGGGTGAAAATAAGACTGATTAAATTTTAATCTAAAAACAGACGCTGCTCTTATTAAAAGAAAAGAAATTTATAACAAATCAAGGGGGGTAACTCTATTTTTTGTATGAAAATCAATAAAGAAATTAATATTAATAAAATATGCAGTGATAAAATTAATGTACTAATAAAAATAACATAGAACAATAAAAATAAGATAAAATAAACATCTTCTTACTCAGTAAAGTTCTCAATGTTTAGATTACCTAGACAGAACAAAAATGCTTGAAAAATTTAATTCCTATGAAAAGATGGCCCTAGTCGTAACCTGATCTTCTTGCTCATGCAGTCTTGAGACAACTCGGACATTCAAGTCATCTAAAAGATATTTTTGGGTGTGAAACTCACGTTATTACTAGTGCCATCTTTCATAGAAAAAGATATATATATATATATATATATATATATATATATATATATATATATATAAATAAAAAGAAAGAACAGTAAGATATATAATCTGGTGTTCTTATAGATATTTTTATTTTTACAAAATAGTGCTCAATGTAAATTTACAGAGCATTAATATTATAAATTAATTGATTTAAAATATGGTTTTTTTCCGCTACACAGTTCTAACCATGTTTCAAAAATGGAAGCTAAAAGCCACGAATTTAATTTTGCAATTAAATTAAAGACATTAGTTCCATTTCATCCTCAAGCGAATTTTGGGGTAACTTTTAAAATTACTGGGTTTTAAAGACACAGCTAAAATCACGTTTCCATGGTTACAGATAAATCTACTTCAACTGGACAAGGGGTGTCTGGGTTTTCCTTATGTCTGTATCATTGTATCAGTTATTAGCTACATTTTGGTAAGGGGTAGGGATGTATTTTTCAATGAAAACTGACATCCGTTGTATGCATGTCGTCTGGATTTTTTTTAAATTTATTGTTAACGGCAAAAAATTCTTACAGCATTTTTTCTATTTGTAAATTTAAAGATTTTCAGGGGTGTTCAGATTAGAATACTTTTTTATTTAACTACGATTTGAAATATTCTCATTTGTAATTTTTATTATACTATATTTTTTATGAACAGTATATATTATATATATATATATATATATATATATATATATATATATATATATATATATATGAAATGGATAAAGTTCAATTATTTTTAAAACATTTTTATGTTTATACATACAAATATTTAAGTAAATGCCCTGTTTATAATAAACAGTATTAACAACATGAATGTCCAAGAATATATATATATATATATGGGGTGGGGGTAATAGTATAATGCCTACCTCAGGTGCGATATAGTCAGGTGTGCCACAGAATGTCTGAGTGAGACGTCCATCAAACATTCCTTCTTTGCACATGCCAAAGTCAGCCAGTTTGCAGTGTCCTTCATAATCAAGGAGAATGTTATCCAACTTCAGATCTCTGAAAGAAGAGGAATCAGCATTTGGTGTTGTGCAAGCTGAGCAATGCGAAAATAGTAACGAGATGTCCCTAGACATGGACAGTGTGAAATGAGAACAATCTACCCTCATAGATTCTGCAAGGAAAGCAAAGCAACGGATTGTATCTTACAGTGTAGAACCCAATCCCATTTTTTCCTGAACCCAAAACAGACAAGATCTGGTCAAATTTCATTTATTTATTTACCTGAGAGATAATATCTATCTAATGGTGCATTGCAACAAAGGGAGATAAATCTTCACTATTTACATTATTCGGACTATTGTCCTCATCATTGTCGCCATACGTTTCGGCTTTTCAGTATCTGTTTATATTTCTGAGATGAGGTATTATGTACACTATTTACATTATTTGGACTATTGTCCTCATCTTTGTTGCCATATTTATTACAACATTTCAGCCTTTCAGTATCTGTCTATATTTCTGAGATGATGTATTATGTACACTATTTACATTATTCGGATTATTGTCCTCATCTTTGTCGCCATATTTATTATAACGTTTTGACCATTATACATTATATTGAAGATCCAATGACAAGACCCAAAGTGTGTGAGTTCAATACCAAGTTAAGGCAGTGGAGAACTTGGAGAGGGTAACTGACAGGAGATAACTGATAGCTGACATCCATTAAAACATGGCACGTGGAACTAGAACAGTCTACCCCAGTGAGCGAAATAAAGGGTTCAGTTCGACATTCCAACCAACTGAAGAAGGCCGGAGCATACAACGGCCGAAACATTGTAATAAATATGGTGACAAAGAGGAGGGCAATAGTTTGAATAATGTAAAAAGTGTACATAATACCTCATCTCAGAAATATAGACAGATACTGGAGATAAATCTTTCATTATGTTTCTGTAAATCTTGAATGGTTCTGTACTTTTGCCAGATTTTGTTGAGTCTAGGCGCCACTGTGAGTTTGGAAGTTTGGAAATCATTTAAAAGGTAAAAATATTATTTAATTTACGCTAAGAAAAAGAAATGATGCATAATTTCAAAATAAAACATTTTACATATCTCATGATTTAAACAGGGCGCCTTGACGTGGTGTAATGGTTAGAAAGCTTGTCTTACTAGATCTTTACAACTTTTTTTTTTTTTTGCCACATCTAAGCTGTGCTTAGAAAATCACTATCATAATGTAAACATACAAGAGGTAGCCTCCATCGTTCAGTCTTCTACTGACCAGACAAATTAATCCCCACATTGGGCTTCCCTTCTTATTCACAAAAACTTTGAAATTGCTGGAATGGAAGATGAAATCAACACTATGGCAAGAAATAAAAACACTAATCTATTTCTCAGCAATTTTGTGTTTATTTCACCAGAGTTCCAATTTGGATTTAGTATTCTCTTTGGGCGTATGTAGGCAGCAAATAGATGCCTTCACCTCTTCTTACAAGTCCGCTATTAACCCATTAACTACCAAATTGTTTTAATGCACATTTTTAGTCCAGACAGGTGTCTTAGGAGTTTATTTATTCCTTATGTTTAATTTCAGTAGTTACCATTGTCGTTTTTATAGAAACTAAAACATCAAATATATATGTGTATAACACATCAAAAAATAAAATTGATTAGAAATAATAAAAAAATACTTTTCAAAATAGTCATTAATTTTCTACTCATGAAATGTAAAATTATGAAAGAAAGTGTCTTCTTACGGCTAATAATAAAAACTTTAAAGGCTAAGCGTTGCAAAATATACCTCTGAAAATGCAATGTAAGTAATTCAGTGTAAATACAAGGAATAACGTGAAGTGGGTTTAATTTTAACAGATCCCCAAATGGGGTTCATGGTAGGTAATGGGTTAATCCAGCCCTAACCAAGACTCTAGTTATGGAAGATGGAAATGTCTGAATTCCAACCAAATGTCACTTGACCCCACAAGTTTTTATTTATTTATTTATTATTTTCTTCCCTTTCAGTCAAGTGGACTGCTGTTTTGAACACTGGACTTCAAAGACATTACAGCCAGTCATAAGGACACCTAACATTTCAAATTCCAATAACATCAATAAGAGAGCATTTGACTTTGTATGGATTCGGGCATTTGTGTATATGAAAATAATTGAGTAAACATAACTGTTCTTTTGTCACCCCGGTATCCCATGTTTCCTTAATTACAGGATCTGACATTACTTGTTACTTGTCTCCCCCCACTTTTTTGCTGATGACACAGAACTTACCTGTAAATGATGCCATGTTTGTGGAGAAACATAAGAGCCAACGTGACTTCTGCAGCGTAGAACCGAGCTCGGGGTTCATCGAATTTGCGGGCACGCTGGATTTGAAACATAAGATCACCTCCATTCACGTACTCCATCACAAAGAAAAGGCGATCCTGCAAAGGCGAAAAGTAATTTGAGGAGGAGGAGGAGGAGGAGGGAGTCAATTTTTCTTGAGTAAACATTTGGAACAAAAGAGAGGAGGAAAGAGAGAGAGAGAAGGAAAGAGGGTATTCAGTTCTGAGTGAATGTTTGAGAACACAGAGAGTGGGAAAGGAGAGAGAGGGAAAGAAAGAGGAGAGATAGGGAAGGAGGGTATTCAGTTTTGAGTGAATATTTGGAATACAGAGAGTGGGAAGGTAGAGAGAAGGAAAGAGAGCAAGGGAAGGAGGGTGTTCAGTTTCCAATAAATATTTGGGAACACAGAGGGAGGGAAGAGGGGAGAGGAGATAGAGAGAGAAGGGAAAGAGGGTGGGAGAGGAGATATAGAGGGTGGGAGAGGAGATATAGAGGATGGGAGAGGGGGAAGGGAAGAGGGTTTTTGTTTGGAGATAGAGGGGGAGTATATCTTTTTGCAGTTCTGTCTTATTTGGGAAGGAGAGAGAGAGAGAGAGAGGATGTTTTGCCAGTTGTGCTTTCAGTAAATATTTTAAGTAAAGAGAGAGAAAGAGAGTACTTAGTTTTGCCTTGAGTGAAATATTTGGGATCAGAGAGAGAGAGAGGGAGCACAGGTGTTTTTGTCTTGAGTAAATTTTTGCTGAGGAGACAATACAAAGTGACCAGTGATTTGGGCAAACAAAATTTCCTGATTTTTCCAGGAATTTCCTGACCAAATTTCATAAAATTCCCTATCTCTTGAACAGAGTGCATAATTCAGTGTGATCAAGTTCTTGAACAAGGCCAGTACACTTGTGACTTCATGCTAGCAAAACCATTGACAGCTTCTGAAAGGTCCAGTCTACTTAATTTCACTCAGTCTTCAGTCAACATGTAGTATACTTTTCAAACATTTTCCAAAGCTGCCACACACTGGGATCATCTTCTCCAATAAATCGATCATTGTGAGATTTCAATGTAGGTCTCATAATTGGAAAGGGAACGTTCTGATCACTTGACTCTGCATTGTCTTAGCAATGGAATAAACATATTGTGATTGATTGGTTTGTTTTTTATGTCTTATCAACCTTTTGCAGGTTATTTAAAGCCAGAAAACATTTTTTTCAGCTTATAAGAATTGAAAGATGCAATCTAAAGAGAGAAGAGGTGGATTCATACGTTTCCAAAGATTATTTGCACGTAAACAAGTGGTCACCCATCTAGGTACTGGCCAGGCTCGATGTTGCTCAACTTCATTGATTGTTCCAATTCTGAGCCACTATCCATTACACCACTATCACATCCAAGCTTACAACACTTAGTATTCCCAAGCGGTCGCCCATCTAGGTACTGGCCAGGCTCGATGTTGCTCAACTTCATTGATTGTTCCAATTCTGAGCCACTATCCATTACACCACTATCACATCCAAGCTTTTTTTTAGTATTTGATGCAAGCGGGTCGCCCATCTAGGTCTTTGGCCAGGCTCGATGTTGCTGTTTTCATTGATTTTTCCAATTCTGAGCCACTATCCATTACACCACTATCACATCCAAGCTTACAACACTTAGTATTCCCAAGTGGTCACCCATCTAGGTACTGGCCAAGCTAAATGTTGATTAACTTTGGTGATTAGACAAGAAGTGATGTTTCTATGTAGTGAAAGAGATAATCAGGTACCCCAGAAAAAAGTTCGTGTTTTGTGTGCGATCTGCCGAAGAAGGAAAATTCGGGCATTTTGGCTCTCCCTTTTGTTGGGAGAGTAATCTGACAAATTTGCTTTGAGAAGCTTACAACTTACAAGCTATTTTGGCATTTACTTTGTCTATAAGATGGCGGAAAGACAGTTCGATATAAAACTGATCCCCGCAATTCAGTGGATATTTTGATACCCGAGTGGACAGTCTGTGGTTGAATGGATCGAAAAGGTGGAACTGGTCTGTGCAATTATCTTGCGAGATCCAAGAAGATTGAATGGATTCTTCCACTGTGATTGAATGGCGGTGCCCTTGCTGTGTATAGGCAGCTCAGAAAATGAACAAATAATTACCATTGGAGGTAGGGCTAGCACCTCTTCAGATGGTGAAGACTCTATCGTGAGGTTGTCAGACCAGAAGAATCCTCAGAAGAAGAATCTTTCAGAACATTCTTCAGATGATGAAGACTCTAAATTTTTGAGGTTGTCAGATCAGAAGAAACCTCAGAATATAACACACAATCTCCTCCAAAAGTCGCCCCGCTCGGAGAAGCTTAAGAATAAAGAGGGCCGCCCATGAGTGTCACTTATGTGACAAATTCCATTGTAGTGACTCGAGATAATCAAGTATCCCGGAAAAAAGTTTGTGTTTTGTAGAGAAATGCGATCTGCGAAGAAGGAAAACGGGCATTTTAAAACGCCGTTTGTTGGGAGAGTAATCTGTGACAAATTTGCTTTGAGCGCTTACACTTACACTCTACTATTTAATACATAGCTGGGGGGAGAAGATGTGGATTCATACCTTTCCCAGTCATATTTGCAGGTAAATGAATATAATGAACCTTACTGGAATTTGGAGCCATTATCCATTATACCACACGCACATTCCAGCTTACAACACCTGGTATACCTAGGCAGTCACCCAATTAGGTACAGACCAGGCTTGACATTGCTTAACTTTGGTGAACATACAAGAACCAGCATTTCAATGTGATATGGCCTATTCAATGTAGGACTAGTTGGCACCCACTCGCATTGGAATCGTCATCCCCTCTCCTTATTCCCTTTCTTCCTTCTGGTGGCAGTGATGAGTCATGAGCAGGAGTCACAAAGGAGTGTGGATGATGGATATGTCTAAGCAAGTCAAGACCTCCTGACAGCATGTCACAAATTCTTTTCATGTTGACAGTTGGACTCTAAAGTCTTGGATGGTCTTATGCCATGAAGACTGATTTGCAGCAACATAAAAATAAATGTAGAAGAATCAGAGGAGGAATGTTTTAACCATATTCAGTTATGTGCCATGCGTGATACATGCTTAGGCGATCGTGTATCTTTCAATACATGAACTGACGAGGTAGATTTTTTCCCCACAGTAGGTTGCCATTTCTTTCTGCAGTAGACCAGTTGTCCTCCAAGGCTATAGAACCTGGTGTGTCCTGCTATTTACCTATAGCTGGATAGGGGGAGAAGAAAAGGATTAATACCTTTCCCAAGGGTATTAGCATGTAAGTAAATGTAATTGATTCGACTTGAAAATGAACTCAGCTCTCCGATTCCTCAATCTGAGCCATTATTCATTACTCCACCATCACTACATTAATGAAAGTGATTCCTGAAAACGAATTCCAAGAATATTTTCAGCATCATCGTTTCAGGAAGTGCCTAGGGGAGGACTTTGAAGGTGGCAGCAGCTAATTTTGTTTTCGTAGAGTCATTTAAGGAATTCAGTTGCCACGTCTCGTATTTTGAACAATCAGTTATGTGGCATGCATAATACACACATAAGCGATCATGTATCTTTCGATACATGACTTATAAGGCAGATTTTTTCCCACAGTAGGTTGCCATTTCTTTCTGCAGTAGACCAGTTGCCATTCAAGGCTATAGAACCCAGTCTGTCCTGCTATTTATCCATAACTGGGAGTGGAGGAGAAGAGGATTCATACCTTTCCCAAGGGTATTAGCATGTAAGTGAATGCAATGGATTTCACTGGAATTCGAACTTGACTCTCTGATTCCTCAAACTGAGCCGCTATCCATTACTCCACCATGCCTTCTTTTATATATCTTTTTTTTTTTTTAAAGTGTTTTTGTCTGTTTTGCTGAAATATGTCCACTGTTAAAATTGGTTGCTTTATGGATAGAAGTGAAAAGAAGTTGAGGGGGGTGGAAATAGAAATGGGCACTTACTCTAGTCTGGAAACAGGAGTGAAGAGCAGTTAAGAACGGATGTTTTGCCGACAGCGCTAAAATCCGTTTCTCAGTCATGGTGCATTCAACATCATCATCTTGTATAATGACGTCTTTTTTAAGGACTTTGACAGCATAAACTTCATCTGTCCCTCTTCGTTCAGCTAACATAACCTGTTAAAAAATAAATGAATATTAAGGATCATATGCACATACATGTATGTAAAACAATTTTCTACATCACCAGATGAGTACCCTAAGTTAGAAATGGGAATTCACCCACTGCTATAAAGGGTAACCAGAAAACCAGGCGGTCAGATGCGGCACAAGGCCAAATTTAACATGGGGTATCCAAGCCCGTAGGCTCAGACAAAAATTCCCTGTAGACCCCGTAAAAAATGGGGTCGGGTAGCTGTCTACCACCCCAGACAAGGTTATGCCAAAGGGCAGAGCCTCGTCTGGGTTCCTCTCCACATGAAGGCAGAGAGTTCAACAAGCACAGCTGGAGACAAATCTCCATGTAATTCCTGAAGCAAGTTCACAAGTATATCCTGTGCTCACTATATATATCTACTGATATAGTCAGTCCACATAGGCGATAGGGAGTGTGGGACATTCCATTACAACATTTTTCTAAATACATCTGTAAACCTTCACCTTACCTTAGAAAAAAGCCAAAGAGACTAATATCTGGTTAGTGAGTAGCCTATTCCACTCGGCCACGTCTCCCAATCCAGATAGGGAAATTGTCATTCAGTCTCTAACTGCCATGTTGTAATGGGCAGGGAATCCATCCTGTTGGAACCACTGAGGGAGAGCTTTACCTAACCCCTTTCAATTTGGAGCATTAATTGATCCCTCAATATAAGGTGTTTCTTACCAGTTACATTACAATCAAAGGAAAGTGGTCCCAACACATGCACTTTGCACAATCCACACCACAATCCATTGTGTTCCTTGCTGTTTTGGAAGGGTCCATTTAACATGGATTGTTTTGCAACCAGTACTGAATATTCTGTTGGTTTACCTTGTCGCTCGTATAAAACAAAGCTTCATTACTTAATAACAGTCTTCAGTGAAGTGGTTGTTTTCATATAAATTTATGTATTCAGATTTCATGGTTACACTGAATAATGTACTCTTCTGCTGATATAATAAAAATAAAAATTTTTCTACTGTTTTTAACTTTACAATTAAAATGCCGCCATTTTGTTTTAACTTTACAATTAAAATGCCGCCATTTTGTTTTAACTTTACAATTAAAATGCCGCCATTTTGTTTTAACTTTACAATTAAAATAATTAAAATGCCAGTTCATTTTGTTTTAACTTTACAATTAAAATGCCGCCATTTTGTTTTAACTTTACAATTAAAATGCCGCCATTTTGTTTTAAATTTTCACTCATCGATTATTTTTTGCAATTATGTAAGCTTGTCCCATGTTGTCATTTTCTTTTTTAATAAAAATGAATCAAAATGATTTAGGAAAAATCTTTATTAATCATTTCACCTGGTTATCGGCTTCAGAAAAAGGAAAAGAATTATCAGATTAAAAAAAATAAAAAGAATTTTTTTGCAGAGTGACTCACCTTGCCAAAGCTACCTTTCCCTAAAACTTTAATAAAATGGAAATCATTTAAGGTAAATCTTTCACGCTTTGACCGTTCCTGCGATGGGCTCCTTGTGTGTTTCATCTGCTCATCTTGATTCTCCTGGATGTCACTTCCACTCACCACACTCTCGTACTCAGAGTCTGAATCAGAGAAACAAATACAATTGTAAATTTTTTATATACATATCCATATACATTATATATATATATATTTATATATAATGTGTGTGTGTGTGGGAACTGGGATCAAATATAGATCGGAATCAGATCAAATGAGGAACAAATAGGAAATGTTTATAAATCTAGCAGGTTAACTTCATCAGAGAATGAGATATAGAGAAAAAAAAAAATTTTAATTAATTAATTAATGGTATTTTCATTTCTATGAACATAAGAGAGACCTATATTCAGACAAACCCTTTAAACTTGCTCATAACACACAAGAACAAAACTGGCCATAACTTTAATTTTACTAATGCCACCTGAATTAAAATAGAACAATTCTTTACATAGGAAATACTTTGAGGGGATTCAGATAAATCTATTTATAAACAAACATTGAACACACTATATTACATCATGTCTATCTGCTAATACTATCATAACAATGTTACATAAAAACGTCCCCAAATCAATATACAGACAACCACCATAGATAAATCAAAATGCCTACCAGATATACACATGTGGACAAATGAATATACATTATCATCTGAATCATATTATCATAAGCAAACTAGAATTGTGATACACATATAAATTTACACACTAATGCAGTTTTACAAGACAAAATACAGACGTAAATTGTACACATAAATTTACACATAAATGACACTTGACTAGTCAAATGTACATGAAGTTCGCTTAACCAATCAAAAACTAACAACACAAAAATTAAAAATATCAGAAAGTATTTTCTCTTTCCACTATATCTCATTTTCATGTCAGATTTATAAATGTTTCCTATTTTTTCTGCATACTATTATATATATATATATATATATATATATATATATATATATATATGCTTAGGACTTAATAAAAAAAGTATCCAAATGTTGGACAATTTTTATCTTTATTTTCACCAGAAATTAAAGCAAACATTAGAATGGCTTATGATCAGACATAAGACATTCATTGTCTATTATATTTAATAATACATGTTTTTATATATATATATATATATATGATCTGATGAGACAAGTATTAAAAGCTTACCCATTGAAATAAATTATAATCATGTTTTCAATGATTTTCCTTGATGTTTATCATATTGCTCTGTATTCTATCCATAGAGTTCTCTTTATGGATCTATCTTTTTAATATTTCATATTAAAAAGACCTACTTGGATTATCCTTTCCACTTACAGATTTGATATTTTATATATATATGTGTGTGTGTGTGTAATATATATATATTATTATTTATATATTATATGTGCGGTATTTATTAGAAAGTGCTCAATATCAGTGATAGAGCTTATATACATATATATATGCTTGACCCTCATATATCAAATTTGACAGGAGACTCGAATATATATTATACAATGACATTTTACAAAATATTAAAGATATTTTTATTATATATATATTTACACATTAACATTTTACAAAATATTTAAGATATTTTTAGAATATATATATATATATATATATATATATATATTATATATATATATATGTGTGTGTGTGTGTGTTTAACCCCAGAAGTAAACAGTTCTTAAGTTTTATTTATTAATTAATTCAGTTATTAACTTACAATGAAGACTTAACGTCTGCATAAAAAAAAATGTGTGTTTACGAAAAGTTATCATCTGTCTGAATTTCTTATGGGCTTAAGGCCATATCACATTGAAACACTTATTCTTATACAATCACTGAAGTTCAGCAACATCAAGCCCAGTCAGTACTTAGATGGGTGACCACTTGTGAATTCTAAGTAAGCTTGGATCTGTGTAATAATTAAGGGAATACTATTGGAATTCAATCCCAATTCCAGTTGGGTTTGTTATATTCACCTATGCACAAATACCCTATGGAAAGGCATGAAACCACTTCTCTCTCCAACCCCAACTATTTAATTAAATAGTTAGTTGGTAGGATTTGTATCAGTAAAATCAGACATTATCTCCCCAAAATTCTTACAATCTTTTCTGGCTTTAAATAACCTGCAAAATGTCGGTAAACTCTAAAAAAGAAATCAAGCAATAAAATTTCTGTGATGAGGAGTTATTATTTACATTCAGACTAACATCCCCATCTTTGTTGTTATTATCACCAGATCACCCTCTCTCTCTGAATTTCTGGGATGAGGAGTGATCATTATTTATATTCAGACTAATATCCTCATCTTAGTTGTTATTATCACCTAATCACCTTCTGTCTGAATTTCTGAGATGAGGAGTGATCATTATTTATATTCAGACTAATATCCTCATCTTTGTTGTTATTATCACCTAATCACCTTCTGTCTGAATTTCTGGGATGAGGGTGATCATTATTTATATTCAGACTAATATCCTCATCTTTGTTGTTATTATCACCTAATCACCTTCTGTCTGAATTTCTGGGATGAGGAGTGATCATTATTTATATTCAGACTAATATCCTCATCTTAGTTGTTATTATCACCTAATCACCTTCTGTCTGAATTTCTGGGATGAGGAGTGATCATTATTTATATTCAGACTAATATCCTCATCTTTGTTGTTATTATCACCTAATCACCTTCTGTCTGAATTTCTGGGATGAGGGTGATCATTATTTATATTCAGACTAATATCCTCATCTTTGTTGTTATTATCACCTAATCACCTTCTGTCTGAATTTCTGGGATGAGGAGTGATCATTATTTATATTCAGACTAATATCCTCATCTTTGTTGTTATTATCACCTAATCACCTTCTGTCTGAATTTCTGGGATGAGGAGTGATCATTATTTACATTCAGAATAATATCCTCATTTTTGTTGTCATTAAGACATTTCGGCCATTGGGACCTTTGGTCCTCTTCAGGTTTCTGCCAAGATGGGTAACCGTCAGGGAATTCCTAAGCCCTTTATTTAATGTACAGGGTTAGATTGTTATCATTCCTCTGTCCATATCTAGGTATATCTCATCTTTTTTGTACTGCTCAGTCCTGTTTCCACTGAATCTGAGTTTGTACTACCCAGGCCAAAGAATGAATTCATAATTACAAAAAGCAATTAAAAAGAAAAAAAATAAACAAGATATCCTTGGACATAGATAGCAGAATGAGAAAAAATTTACCCCATAAATGAAGGGTTCTGTTTAAAATAATACTACTCTGAAAAAAGAGAGGTGGGTAGACAAGGGTTTCCATCTCACTGAAGCAGACATTAAATGCATGAGAGTATTATCACCTTCTGTATCTTCCTTTTCTGTTTTTTTCTTATTATGTAGAGTTTCTTTTTCTCACTAAAACTAAACAGGATTTCTGATGCATTTTTCTTCCGCATTATGGAGAAAAAGGACCTCAGTTACCAATTGTGTAGAGACAGTTTCAAACTTGATATTTGTAAATAAAAACAAAGTACAGATAACTCTTTAAAAAAGTCAGGGATCGATTTGACACTGTATTTATGTTATGAACAGGACCCCCAGTTAAAAGTGATCAATGTATCAATATTTGTCAATTCTGAAGCCGAAGACTTGAAGAAAGTCTGATGAATGGTAATTGACAAAAATTATTCCTTTGGAAAATTGTCTATTTTTTTTTTTTATGAGCGGACCAGTCAATTTAAGTCTTTATTTGTTATTCTATCATGGTTATAGCATTCATAAAGTTTCATATTTCCTTTATGGGGGTAATCATCAATATATGCAATGAGGGCCGCAACTTACAAAGATCTGTACAACACAATGTTTCTGCATTTATTTCATTGCTATTTGGTTTGGCGCCAGATTAAACAAAGCCTTTTTTTTTTTATCATCTTCAATGGCAGGATTCTAATTTGGCAACATTCTGTCATCGCACAAAAGGAAGAAAAGCTTAATTTGAAAAAGATCGCCAACTAATCTGTTGCTGGTTTTGTTAATGAAGAAGTATAAATTGGATGTGTCAGAGAAAAGAGAGGGCAGCTTCACTGATAAACAATCAAAATAAGACAACATTTTTTTGTTTGAGAATAAAAGGGAAATGAGTAGGAATATTGCGATAAGGAAGAAACATTATGAAAAGCCTGATTTCTTTGAACAGAATTAACTTTGCTGTAAAATAAACGAAAAAACCTAATGTCATCATGTCGATGTAGATTCAATAGATAATGTTTATAACAATGACATGAAACACAGTCAATATATTTGTTTTGTTTACAGTAAGGTTCACCCTGTACAAGGCCCAGGGGCCATTTCAAGGTAGAGGGTTACATTAAAGGGTAGTTTATATGGATAGGAGGGGGAGATAATGGTTAACTCTAGACTTGAACAGGTTAAGATTGTAGAAATATTGGTTGATATTTTTTTTCTCATTAAGTTTTGCCCTATACAAGGCCTGGGGGTGACAAGTTAGTGGGTTACGTTAAGGGATATTTTATACGGATAGAAGGTGAAAATAATGGTTAACTTTAGACTTGAACAGGTTAAGATTGTAAAAATATTGGTTGATAATTTTTTTTTGTTTACAATAAGGTTCCTCGTGTACTAGGGCCACTTGAGATAGATGGTTACAGTAAGGGATAGTTTATGCGGGTAGGAGAGGTTAACTGTAGACTTAAACTTGTTAAGATTGTAGTGATTGGGGAAACATCCTCTTAGGAGTCGTTTCCACAGGAAGTAGTTTGTGAGAAGAAGCTGTTGGAGTGGAACTTACTTCTCATCAATGGAATACAGAGGGAATATGGATGGTTTGCTATTATGTAAGAGGCTTGGTCGGTCCTTGCCGTTAAAGTTAGAACTAACATAACCAAGTAATGTAGTTTCTGTGAGCACTTTCTATGGAAGTAGCAATAGATGTTTTGGACTCTATAGAGACTAGAAAGTGATGACTGGGCAGCTCCCCACCCAAGTATGACAACAGTACACCATTTTAGGTCTGATCTGGCTCTTGTAAAAGTAGAG